AAATATTGCAGTTATGTGTATGAAATAGAACAAATGGTGGTTTAGAACATATTTAATAAATTAAGCTTCAAACAGTATATGCGGTCATCCCGATAAATCCTCGATCAAAGAGAGCACAGCCAATTAACAGTCAAAGTCAGTACGTGGTTACAATGACAGAAAGACTTCATTGAGTTTGAGTTCACGTCACTCTCACACAGCACACCATACCATAAAATGTGTTTCACGCCACGCTTCCATTTCTCTTTTACCTTTGACGCTACAACATAGAAGAAGCTGCCATAGAGATTTTTAAATATAGTCACATTGAATGCAAATAATTCATTTGCAATCTCTGCAATTTTAGTTGAAACCATAGTTTCTAAATCAAGTTCACTTTCGCCTTCATTGGCGTTCATTGATGATGAAAGCCTCACGATGCTGAAGCGATTTTCCAATCACGGTAGTTTATTTCAATGGCAATAGCTCCATTTCATGAAGGCGCTCAATAATATCACTATATTTATTCGTGTGGAGAGAGCATTAGACTTACATGTACGTGGTGCAAACTGGACAATCAATGCTCATACGGCAACAATGTCTATTAAGCGACAATTGACGTCCGATTTCAAACTATCATGACTCCACTGCATGTCATACTCGTCACCTTCTACAGTATTCATCGTACCTTTTCTCTGCATTTATGTCTGTCTGTCTCTTTTCATCTGTAAATCACTCTTTTGTTCCCAACTCCTCAACTTTCTGTTACACTCATTCAAACACAAGATATTTGTTCGAACAAAATAGTTTAACAAATGTGCTACTCTTAACCGGAGAAGGAAACAGTTCAAAATGGATATGTATGAATTATAATGTGGAGTAGAGCCATTGACACCTTCATCAGCGGCACACACTTGGAGATATAGAAGTAGTGAGAGACAATGTTGTCATGATCTCTTGCAATGATTCCTTAAAAATGGAGAAGGGTCATGAATTTCTCAACGATCAATTTTAAAAATCACCCACCTCAAATGTCGTCAAAGCTATCATAGCAACCACCGTAAGTGACTTTGGCGCTTAGTGACGCGTTTTCGCCTTGTCTTCTGATGAGTCAACCGAAGAAGCATTAAGGGCAGTTGAACCTTCAAGAATGGAAGAAAGGAAGGAAGGTAGTGGACCATGTGTCGTAGTTGTTCATTCTCGCAGCAATGGCGTCACGCATGGATTCCTGGCCCTCAAATTCATTTGTGAGTAGTAGTGAGTATATTCAGAAAGTTGACGATCCTCGCACACATTAACTGCGTGTTCCAGACGCAACATGAATGTGTGATTTAATTTACCTCCAGTGCAACTTGGTGCAGCTATTGTATCACGGCCAAATTGATTTGAGCAATTTCGGCCAAAAAGCATTAGTATACTACCCAAACAATAAATTACTAATATCTGAACAAAAATTTGAATCGAGCGCGAATCAAATCACTACTCAGAAATGCTTATTTTTCCAAAGGATATGGTTAAACATCATTCATTTTAGCTGTGATATTAATGTTCCATGACATCGCAGTTCTCATATTAAAGTTAGGAATTAAATTTAATGTAGAAAATGGATTCGAACAGACAGCGTTCCAATATGCAGGCAGGCGTCAATGATGTCGAATTTTAATGGGGAAGGAACTAGCAACTTTGGTTTTACTTCTCATGCTTTAGATTCCAAGCACAATGTCATCCATATGGAAATAGATCTCTTGTTCATCCGCATCGGCCAATATTTCTATATCTACCCCCCACTCTCTCTCTGTGCATTAGTCCAAATCACTTACATTCACACAGTATATTGTGGATTGTGATCATCTGTGACATTGATGATTTGCTTAGCTTTAGAGGAATGTGCCAAACTGGCTGGCGTTGTGATGGATTGGAGGAGGCGGGAGATGATTGAGGGTATGGCAGAGAACAATTATCATCTGTACCTCCATATTTAGTTCTAACATGATCTCACCGAGGACAAGCGGGATGCTCAGTACGACAATGTCTCAGTTCGAATGAATAAAAAAACAAAAAATCACCCACCTTCCATTCACATCTTCATCTCTTTTCCTCATTCCACATATTCAAATTTCCCCCAGTAAGCATTTCACGTCTACTACAAGCAGTTCATTTCGTACCTTCAAAAATCATAAGTAGCTCATTTGAACAAACGCTCGTCATACTTCAAAGTCCACTATTTCTACCTTCTACCTTCTTTCATGCGTTAACACTCGAATGGCATCGTCATTAACTGCCAACTACAACTACTTCTTCTCCATGTCCCAATACTAGCCTCAAGCAAACACCGCTTTGATGACACACCACCACTGCCCATCTAATAAAGGTGAAGCATCAAGTGACTTACCCATATCAAATTTTGCACCGATCCAACCCAATGAATAATAAATTGACAACAACACACAGCCTCGAAACTATCATTTCATCAAAAGACATGAATGCGATCAGTAAAAACCATGCGAAACCAGACGAAGAAATGTCGGTAGCACAGATTTATTTGGTGTGAGGTTGACAGACACAAGAGCACACTCGCACACAGAGAGTACAACATTGGTGTTAGTTTTAGTTGTTGATGTTGATATTGTTGGAGCCATCAGGCGTTTGATTGCCACGCAACCAACTTGTTGAACTCCGAAGTGAGGTAGTCATTCAAGAACCGATCGAAATACTGCAAATGATTCTCTACTCACTGAAATCCCTCATACTCCTTCTCCTTCATACACTCAAACATCTTTTCTCTCAAACTCTCCTTCACCGTGACACAAAATCTCACCACTCCATCAGCATCCCACCAATTCATGTTTCTCATGCCCACTCAAATGCACACACTTGGCTTGTGAATGGCCACTCACTAAATGCCTGTATATCAGTGAGTTTAATTGAGAGTGTTTGAATCTGAGGTTTCAGCATAAGGGCACCTATTGCTGAGAGGGGGGTGAAGAATGTCGCACAATCTCTGTGTATTCATTGGTAAGAAGGAATGCTAGTTCATTCTTCTTTGTACCACTTCTCAAAACTGTCTCATTTGTTGTCTCAAATGTTGGGTGACAGCAGGACGTCAATTGATCCCAATAGTGCCGATCTTTCATCTTTCTTAGCTAAATTAGCTCGATTGAATTGTGGAGAACAATTCTTGAATACTTGACTGGTGAGAGCACCATGTCAACTACATGTTTCTTCACAACAGAATCATTGTCAGAGTCAGCGATTACCCAGTGGTAGTTTTGATAATGTACTAAAATTTACACCTACTTTAGATGTCTGTCCAATGCAGTTCCTACCTTACTCACTTTCCCATTTCCTCAAAGGTTGGTATGTTGATGAATATTGGAAGAATCCATATGGACACCAGATTATGACGGTTCTTTCATTCAATGCTGGACGATATGCATGAAATTGCCTCATTGCTGTTAGCATAGGGTGTAAGTGTTAATGAAAGAGATCATTTTGGTTAAACTCCAATCATGCATGCTGCGTTGTGCTAGTCCTTATGTAGCAAGTTTGCTATGGTTTTATGATAAGTGTTTATTTCCCACCATGGCTAATCAAGTTAACAGGGGCGGAACCACAACTAACAGCTGATGACTTGTGCACGACGGTCTACACGATTGCGGCAAAGATGAAAAGTAGAGCTGTGGCTCGTATTCTTTCACTTTGGACTAAAATGGATTCGCTTCGTGCTTTATTACAATAATAAGCAGCTAAGCTTTTGCCTTGCATATTGATTTCATTACGGAAACTATTCGTTTGCTATTTCCCATTATGCTACATTTCATTTCGATTTTAGTCAAAAATTTGGTGACATTTTGAATTATTTGATGTCTATTAGTCTCATTGTTGCTCAATTTTGGATCAACCTACAACTCGCTTAGTGTGGCTCGGCATGATGTCCAGAAGAACGCAACTTTTAAACTGAATTTTCAGTTTTACTCATCAAGTTCAACTTCCCCTCAGTTGAGTCACTTTGCAGAATCTTGAATAATCGCAAGGTCCACTTCTTATTTCATCTATTGTCTTTGCCTCGAAATAATTTGTGCGTGAGATCAAATGAGCAAAATCTGCAACGAAGTGAGAATTTAAGTGGTAAAACCAGAGAAAATCAAATGTACGGGCAATCTTATTTTCGTGTTTATTAAATTTGATCGTGCAATATTTGTGAAAATGAGAAACAAATTGTGGAGTTGAAATCTCTTCAAATGCCAAATTCGCACCATAATTTGAACTCTAGATTAGTTAACAAATCAGCATAATTAACATGTAAGACTTCATGGTTTGAGTGTTGGGATTCGCGATGGACTTGACTCTACCTGGTAAACCCCGAGCAACGTATACTCATAAGCCAAAAGTCTACGTATCCAAACTTCAAACTACCATTTCACTTTCAAAATGACCACAGCACTCACCTTACCCTGAACGCATCTTTAGTTTTGTTCCAGACTGTCTGTGAATTACTCTTCTGTTTCTCCACACCTTACCTCCCCCCCCCTCATAACTCTCCTCTCAACCTTTTGTGGCTTTGATGTTCCTCAGCCATGTGAAGCTCAACGTCGAAAAAATCGATGATGATAACTTTAACAGAGTGAGTGCTCAGAAATATATACAATTCCAGTAGGATTTCGTGTCATCCTCTGGTATTAAAATACAAAGTCAATGTTTTATTTAGATATAGCAAACAAATTCCATCACCATCCAAACAGTGACGGCACAAACTCATAATTCCACGAAAATATTATTTGGGAAATTTCCTCCCTCCTCAAATCCATTGCGACCTGTTCTCCTGTTGTTCTATAGCCAGTAACCAACGCATCCGGGTCCGCCCCTTAACACAACGAGGTGTCTTAATGCAATAATTGGGCCATACCATAACAAAGCAGCTGTGCTGCTGCAGAAGGGTTGTCATGAATGGTAGACGTCATAAGTGGAGTGAAGCCATGCTGGTTTGTATCGCTAACCGAGGCACTGTGAGAAAGAAGATATTAGACAATGTATTCATTTCTCCTAATAATTGCAAATTCCAAAGGAGATAAATCATTCCCTCGTCTACGAATTATTGGAGCACCGTTATCAATTAAGAATTTTGCTACTTCGTTGTGGCCCTCAGTGATGGCCATGCAGAGTGCTAAATGCATGTTCTTATTCTTCTTTTCTCTATCTGTCTCTTCAACATTCACCAAGAATTGAAGGATATCCAAGCGGCCCTGAAATCATAACCTAGATTGATGAACTTACATAGAAGGCAGCATAAGCAAGAGGTGGGAGTTCAGGAAGCTCCACATACTTATAAACCACTGATCCATATGCAACCAAAAAGCGAACCATGTGGATGTTATTTTTATCCACAGCCAACGTAAGAGGAGTTTTACCAGTGTTGTTATATTTTTCTAAATGGCAATTATGTGAAATAAGAATAGAGACGGAAGCCTCATCATTATTGTCCACTGCAACATGCAACGCAGTCCGTCCAAATTCATCAACCCCATTCACATCAGCTCCATTCATCAATAGTTCATTTATGATGTCATAGAACTTTAGCCTCACGGCTAAAATGAGTGGTGTAATTGTCGGACTATTTGGGGAAATATTTGGATTGACCTAGAAGAATATCAATGGAGTTTGACTTACATTGTTTGTTAGTTGAATTCTCACAGAATCAATGTCATTTCGAGTGATAGCTTCATAAATTGTTCGTTGTGGATTGGCCATGTGTGAGAAGCAAAGAGAATCCTTTCCACTCAAATATGATCTAATCATATTGATATTTTGAGGAAATACTTTAATCATTAATCAGCAAGTTGACGTCAACGATTGGTCAAATCTATTAATTCGGTTATAAGGAACCAATAGATGTTTGAGTGCTTGATGTAATATTGGCCAATTCATTGTCCTAATGAGGCGTGAAATCGAATGAATGAATGTCTGACAAATTAAGATAATTTGACTGAAAACATCTCGAGCAGGATTCAATAAAGCTTCTCAAGTAGAGCGTGCATCAGCAAAATCTAATTTCATATGACAATGGTATGGTACTTGAACGAGTTCAGTGTTCATGGAATTGTGTATTGTTTTTGACAAATTCCTATCAACTCTGAATTTAAAACGACAACTGTTAAAGCCGTCTCAATTCTTCCTACTATTGCAACCCCAATTCAGAATATGATATTCACGATGTATTATCTGTACACCTTCCAACACCTCTCTCATGTCTATTTAGTATATAATTTCCCTGTCTCTTAAGAAATTTGCAAAACCATATTTTTTATAAGCTTGAAGACACACCCATATTAAACTAATTTTTTGTGACATAATATATTCATTAAATTCTCCAACATTCTCAAGCATTCCCGCCACTTCAGCACCATAATCATCATCATTATCATCACCTTCAATTACAATTTTAACCCAAAATTTCAATGCAATAACTAAGCTACGGGTTCATGATACACAAAATGTGCTATGGGAAGGGCACCTGATACTTGTTCTTAATTAATTGGGCAGTGGTGATGTGTCAACAAAGTGGTATTTGCTTGAGACTAGCATTGGGCCATGGAGAAGAAGCCGTTGTATTTGGCAGTTAATGACGATACCAATCGAGTGTCAACGCATGAAAAGAAGGTCAAAGGTAGCAATAGTGGACTTTGAAGTAGCACGAGGGTTCGTTTGAATGAGCTACTTTGACTTGTGAAGGTACGAAATGGACTACTTGTAGTAGATGTGAAAGTTTAAAATGTGGAAAGAGGAAAAGAGAAAGAGAGGTGAATGGAGGGTGAGTGATTTGGTATTCTTTCCTCTATTCGAAATGAGACAGTGTCGTACTGAGCATTTCGTTTGTCCACGGTGAGATCAAATTGACACTTAGCATGGAGGTACCAATGATAATCCTTCACTTCCATTCCCACAACGTGCAAAATACAGTGGGAGGTAAATCGCTCTGTTAACGCACTTTATTGAATCCTCCAACATTCACGAGCATTCCTCTTACATCAGCAACCTCATAATCATCATCATCGTCATCTTCGTCTCCTTCACATACACTTCCAGCACAACATTTCTATGAACTGACTTAGCAATGGGTGCATGATGCACAATGGGCAGCCCAACTTCACACACACTACTGAACCATTACCTACACGTCATCAGTTTATTTAGAAAGATGAGCGATCGTCGCCATTTCAATCAGTTCAAATTCTCGGGTGGTATTCGCTTGAGGCTTGTAATGGGCCATGGAGAAGAAGTAGTTGTAGTTTGCAGTTAACGACGATGCCAATCGAGTGTAAACGCATCTTTCCAAATAAACAACAACAATTACATCTCATCTTGTTTTGGAAAGAAACAGTAAATTAGCAGTGATAATTGAAGATGCTCTCTACTTGCAACTTGATGCACTCTCCACACGGATGCTTTCCAACATTTAGTTTCTGTCTTTTTCAAGCATTTAACAAAAATCAAATAATTAATCAATTAACTTTTGCTTTATTGAGGGAAGGGGCAGCGCGCGTATGTGGAGAAAGGCCATTGAGTCCTCCATCACTATCCCAGTAAATCTTTCACATCTACTACAAGCAGTCCGTTTCGTACCTTCAAAAGTCATAACTGCCTAATTCGAACAAACTCTCGTTTTAATTCAAAGTCCAAAATATCAAACTTTTGCCTTCTTCCCATACGTTAATTCACGATTGGCATCGTCATTAACTGCCAACTACAACTACTTCTTATTCACTAATCTTTTAGACAATGAACTTCACACAAGTCCCCCCACAAACCTTTTGGAGAATGAACTTCACACAAGTCCCCACGAAAATCCTGACAAACTTTGCAATGATATCACGAATATTATAATTTAGATGTGCAAAACTATTCCCCGAGGTAAAACTAAACACTATCGAGTGTTATACTAAACACCTTGAGGAACTGAAAAGAAAGAGGGACGCCCTAGGAGGAACTGAAAAGAAAGAGGGACGCCCTACGCAACACCGCTGATCTGACTGGAAGAACGGAAGACGTACAAGCCTGGAGACAGCAGTCGGCTGCCCTAAGACAAGCCATCTTACAAGCTAAACGGACTTCCTTCGAAATGTTTATCTCAATTATTTACTATCAAAGTGATAGCCAACGCACTTTCAAATTCCTGGAAAGTGATAGCCAACGCACTTTCAAATTTCTGAAAAACCTGCTAAACAACACATTCAAATTCCTGGGTAACCTCCAAAACAACAGAGAAAGACAAAGAACCAATACGCTTAAACAGCAAATTGCTTACCACCGATATTGCTTACCACCGACCACCAATAAGTTTTAAAAACAAACAGCTTACCACCGACTCCAAATATGCTTAAACAGCAAATTGCTTACCACCGACTCCAAAGCGCTTAAACAGCAAATTGCTTACCACCGACAACGAAACAGTTACGCTTAAACAGCAAATTGCTTACCACCGACACCGAACTCCAAATTGCTTACCGCCGACACCGAAATAGCTAACTACATTAGGTTCTATTCCCACAAGCAAAAGAAAAACCCTTTTGTCAGTGCGACACCGAAATAGCTAACTGCTTTGCGAGGTTCTATTCGCACAAGCAAATAGCTAACTGCTTTGCGAGGTTCTATTCCCACAAGGACTAGAAAAACACTTTTGTCAGAAAATCTTCAAGAGATTTAAAGATACTTTGTCAGAAAATCTTCAAGAGATTTAAAACTACAAGTAAGAAAGAAAATCTTCAAGAGATTTTAAGATACAAGTAAGACAGTTCGGTGAAATTAAGGAAGACATAGCAACACCAAATAACGTACTTTCTGAACCATTCCGACCTTACGAACTTAATGCTGCGATAAAACAGTTAAAGTGCAAGAATTCTCCTGGCAAAGACGGTATTTATCCAGAATTTCTAATTAGAATGGGACCCAAAGCCAAGGAAACCATGCTGATGCTTTTCAACAAAATCTAGGAGACCAGTCTGGTACCTAACCAATCTAAAGTTGCCATAGTAATACCTGTACCAAAAAAAGGCAAAGCCCCTAGCAACTCTGACAACTAGGGCAAATACCCTAGCAACTTTGACAACTATAGGCCTGTCTTCCTCACAAGCGTGCTGGCTAAATTTATGGAAAGAATGGTTAACAGGAGGCACACTGACTTTGACAACTTTAGGCCTATCTCCCTCACAAGCATGTTGGCTTAACTTATGAAAAGAATGGTTAAGGCTGACCTGGTTCCTTGAGACTTTATGAGTGAACAAGCAGGTTTTAGGCCACAAAGATCAACAAATCAACAAGTAGCCACTTTCACCAAAAACATCAATGATGCCCTTATGCAAGAAATACTCTTACGGCTGTTTTCGTCGATTTCAAATCAGCATATGACTTAGTATGGAATAAGAAGCTAATTCTAAAATTGGCAAAGATTGGTATTAAGCATTACATACAAAATTGGATAAAAGCATTCACTGGACAAAGATCATGTAGAGTCAGATATGGAAATGCTCTATCAAAATCCAATCTTTTACAAACAGGTCTTCCACAGGGAGCTGTCACAAGCTGCACTCTTTTCAATGTCTTCATCAATGACATAGCCGAATCGGTACAGACAGTCACGGACATCAAGTGCTTACTCTATGCAGATAATCTTGTTCTATGGTATTCGCCCCTAAAACAATGCTCAGGAGAGGACAGAAAGTGCCCTAAATTGTGCACTTATTTAGATCTTGTTCTATGGTATTCCACCCCTAAGAAAAACGCTTGGAAAGTGCCCTAAATTGTGCACTTAAATTACTAGCAAACTTGATTCCGCCCCTAAAACAATGCTCAGGAGAGGACAGAAAGTGCCCTAAATTGTGCACTTACACTACTAGCAAACTGGTGCGACAACAACGAAATGGTAATTTCCACCGCAAAAACTGCGTTCCGAACTTTTTCTTTGGCCCATCACAGCATAAACCCGCTTCTAAGGTACAAGGATACTACCCTAGAAAAAACCAATGAGTTCACATATCTCGGAATGTCTTTTGACACAAAGCTAACGTGGAAAAGTCACATAGCTAAAATAGCAGAACGTGTCTCCAGAAGACTGAATGTCCTGAAGCGTCTTGCTGGTAGCGTATGAGGCTGCGCACGCTCGACTCTCAACATCACTTACAAGATGTTTACGCAGCCAATAATGTTGCATTGCTGTGACAAAACAAAAAGCCTCTCTCCCCATGAATCCATTAGCAGACACTGATGTAGTGTGTTGCACCCAACTGCTCGACTTCTTCAGGAAATCAAACACCCCTCCAGAACAAATGCGCTGACTGGCCCTTGAGATAATCAATGTCAACTATCCTGGAGATCAATGGCTCCAAGTCTTCACTTATGGGTCATACAGAGAAAACCAAGCAAACATTGTTGCAGGTGTCTATTCTGAACTCTACTCTTTCTGCGCGGAAGCGGGACACAATAGATCCGCTTTTGAAGGAGAAATAGACAGTGGGACACAATAGATCCGCTTTCGAAGGAATAGAGGCCATTAGGATAGCACTATGCCAATTATGTTGCCTAGATATGAAATTCACCAAAGCAGTGGTACTTTTGGACCCACAGTCGGCAATAAACTCAATTGAAAACAGAGAGCCACCCATAACAGCTGAGATATAGGAATGTAGAAAACTCTATCAGCTCCTGAGGGAGAAAAACCAACAGTGGTCCTACAATAGATTCCTGGTCACTGTGGC